GCCCGGTCTGCCCCCGGGATGCGCCCGCGCTTGGGCGGCGGAGGGAGGGAAACGCGGGGTGGGAGCGCTACCCCGCGGCCCCGCACTCGCTCCGGCTGGGCAGGGAGCGTTAAGTGCGCACTGACTGGGGGGAAAAGGGGGATCAGCAATGAAGGGAGAGGCAGTTACCGTCGTGGGGGGAGAGGAGGGGGTTAGCGTTAGCGCTAGCAGGAGGGGTGTCCCCGTCGGGGGTTGGGGGCCACACCATCGCTATTGGCAGGGGAGAAGGGTCAGAGCACCACTGCCTGTGGAGAGCTATATGGACATTAGCTGGAAAGAGGTACGTCATCATTTTGAGGTACCGACCGTTACTGTCTGGGATGGGTGACCCTGTCACCCTATGGGGGTACACACCGTCAGTATTTGGGGATGGGAGGATAGCATCACTCATTAGGAGATCGTTGGGCAGGTGCATTTCATTTCGGGAGCGGGCAGAGGCAAGCGCGCTAGAGCTGCTGAAGAGAGACAGGCATCGCTGTTCCCCAGGAGGCCACGGCCTTGCTATCTGTCTAGGGGGTCACGGTTTGTGGGTGGCTATAATATTACTTGGCCCAGCCCAAGAACAGAATTTCTAAGGGTAAATCAAAACCAATATTGAATCAGAAGCGATGCACCAGGTGGTGGGGTGTACGAAGGATTGCCTTTCTGTGGTGGGCAAACACAGCCAGGAGCATGTCAAACCCATAAGGTACCTCTGTACCCCTTGAATCTGCTTATCCACAGAACGAATCTGGGGACTCAAGCAAACAGAAATATATATATATTTTAAAATGCTGTTTTATCAGTAAATTGTTTTTTTTTTGGCTGCTATATTTTTCTCACCGGCCCTTTGCTTCATTGAACAGGGCTAGTTGATGATAAAAAGATACCCAAAACATATCATTTATGACTCAAAATGTGCTCTGCACAGAATTAGTCATTTCTTCACAGACTCTTCTGTGCATTCAAATGACAGTGACTGCATGCCTGGCCAGTTTTACAGTGTTTGTTTTCACAGCACCTCTGAGGAAAGGTAGACAAGCTCTTTTCTGTCCATGGACCACAAAGGTGAAGTGATGAGGGCTGGGACCTATTCAGGACCAACAGAATGACATTTTGTGGAGTGCTTGTGTCACTCTTTGATTATGTAAAACTCAGAGTCTGAGAACTGCAATGTATATTTTGCGCTCTGACTTTAGTCAAAGCTGGAGGAGTTCCCCACTCTCAGAACCAGACCTCAGGGAAGGGAAATGGGCAATGAGATAGTGAGAAAAACACAGATATTGGGTATCTGTAGAAAAAAAAAAACATTTTTTTATCACTCAGCGATCCACTTTGTGTTGCCTATGACTACCATCACAGAGGCAGAAATAAAATCCAGTCTAAACACAGGCCTTACCACCTCTGACCAGAAGCCCATATAGACCCATCACTTCTCTACAGCAGTGGCCGTAGTGGAAATCTAAGAAAATCTAAAGGGAAAAGATAAAAAAAGGATCATCCTTCCACGGTTTACTCCTGGCCTCCAGTAAACCAAAACTCAAGGGCTTCCTGAAACAGAGGTTGTACGTGTTAAATTCCAGTTCTTCCAAGCTAAAGGCAAATCTCACCTTTCTTTGTCATGAAGTTCTCCTATGTCTTTCTCCGGCTCTTGTCGTATCCATCAATATCTTCCAAATTCATCAGGGTATAAAATCTAGTAATCTACCAGCAATTGTCTTCATCATGCAACCTTGCTACCTTTCTATTACAATTCATCCAGTTTCATCTAGTTTTCACTACAAGCTATAAAGGCCTTAATTAATCTTTGCCATTAAAACCTGTGCCACAGGAAGACTTGGTTTTCTTTTTTTCCTTGATCACTTTAAACAAGCAAATATCCAGGGTAGGGATTTACAATTTAGCTTTCTTCCAGGCCTGATGCTTGCTAACAGCGTGGGTCTATAAGGGAATCCTGCAATCACATTCCAGAAAGTTTCCTACTCTGTTTACCCTCCTTCATTCAACCTTTCACTCAGAAGGAGCTATTAGGGAGGTAGTTTGACAAAAAGTGATGAAACCTGAAATAATAATGGGAACATGAAGAAGCAGGTAAACTACTGACACTATTTAAAATAGGCTTTTGGTTTTTTTGAAAGGATCAGGCTTCACACTCATAGCATCCTTGTAGGACAGAAGGACACAGAATGGAGAAGTCCATAAGAGTAATGGAAACAAGGAATTGCAGAAAGGAGCTGAATGTGAAGTCTGCTAATCTGGTTATTAAAATACTGCAGATAAAGTCCTTCAGCCTCAGAATCCATTCCATCATCAGACCATTTCCAGCCTGTTTTTATTGTCACTTTCTCCTTTCCCCAGATTTCTCCTCTTTCTGTATGCTAAGGACATACAGATTTACAAACGGAAGGTTCTCAGACTTCTCAGTCTGCTCTTTGAGAGTATCCAAGAGGAAAAAAAAAATCCTTTTTCCATCCTTTGGGTTTTCATTCAAGCTTTGCAACAGCAATTCCAGCACCACATATGGTAACAGAATATGTGGCACCTGTTCTTTCTATGAAGCATTTGAGCAGTTCTTTCTGCAGCTCAGTGTACCACTTTTCAAGCTATTACCTCATGAATGTGGAAGGTACTCAGTAAACTGTCCCAATACCACAAGGCCAGTACATTCTTCTATAGCATGTGTACTTGGGATTACTGATACATTGGTTTCAAAGCTAACATCTTATCCCCAGACTGGTAAATTTGGAGGGTTCTGCTGTGATAATGGTTATCACTGAATCAGGTGCCTCGTTACTGCATTCTGTGTGAAAGTCACCTACAGGAGAGACAAATAAATATCTGCGCACAGGTATATTAATTAATGTTAATGATCTGAACTCTGTTATTAATGATCTTTCTTGCATTTCTCCTAAGCAAAGTTGTGTACGGAGCTGAAAAGAAAACAGAGAAATTCGCTGAGCCATTTAAAAGAACCCCAAAGAGCTGAAGAAGTTGTAGTCAATAGCAACACTCACAACCAGACTCTTTGCTTGGAAGAATGTCAGGACTTCAATGTCCCAGGTAGAGTTGCCCAATGCATGGGGGACATTTCCTAAAGAATGTTGCAATGCCACATGCAGACACACACATGAAGTAAAGCGTTCCCAGGGGAGGAGTGTGGCAGCCGGGTAGGGTGTTTGGTTTGGATCAATGGCTCATACCTTGTGCACAGCAAGTGGCAATGGTTGGGAGAAATGAGGGAGGGCTGGCTGTCTGCAGCAGGGTTTCCTGGCCATTGCTGGGGTGTAGAGACAGACCCTGAAAGCTGCAGACAAGAACCAAGAGCTGTGTAACCTCGTTTTCTTTGATGTTGGCAAATGCATGTTCCT